TATAACTTATAACTTAATAACTTATTGGGATATTACATGAAACCTTACTAGTTTATTAATATACTAGTAAATATAAGAATAAACAAATCAAAAAATATATAAGAGTGCAAATATCATTAAAAAGAAAAAAAAAAACCCGCGGGCGGGCCAATTTGGCCCGCGGGCTAATGCGGACGGGCCACGGGCTATGTATTTTCCAGCCCGCAGAAATGCGGGCCATTTTGGCCCGCCCCGTTTGGACCGCGGGCCAGCACGGGCCGGAGCGGGCCGACGGACCGGCCCGTTTGACAGTGCTAGTTACCCTCAAATTCAATGCTCGTTCTTCTTGTTTGTCTAGGTCATACTCTCGTTTCACTTTAATTATATTAGGGAACTCACCTTTTTTCTTTTTCTTCTTTTTTTTTTTAATGAAATTTTTTATCGTTTGGGAAAAAGAATCTCAAATTAATAAATTTAATTATTCTGACTCTTGATAGATAAATCATTTTTTAAGGCTAAGTAAAACTCTGAGAGAAAAATAACATGTTCAATTATCTTTTGCATGGTTCAATCATAAGGGACAATTGGTAAGCAGTCAAAACCAATTAAAATCGATTAAAATTGATTTTGAGTTAAAGTGAATTATTTTGAATAAAATTAATCCAGATGGAAAGTATCACTGTTTTCAAACTCGGATCGGCCCGGCGGGTCGACCCGGGACCCAGCTGACCCAGAGCCGGAACCGGTCCAGGTGGTCTATTTGGACCGGATAACAACGGACCTGGCCAAACCCGGTCAAAACCCGGCCAACCCGACTTTGACCCAGTTGACCCGGGTCATTGACCCGGCCGGAACAACCCGGTTGACCCAGTCACTATATTTTTTTTATTTTTTTAGTATTTTTTATATAAAAAAGTAAAAACAATGTAAATAAATTGATATAGTAAATATTTATTGTGAGATACAATTCTTTTAACACTTTGATGTGCAAATTTTATATACAAAATATTTATTTTTGTTACTTTTATATATATATATTTACATGTCAAAAGTACTATATATATAATTTTAAAAAAATTAAAATTAACTATCCGGTTCTGCATTTGACCCGGTGACCCGGTGGTTGAACCGGTGACCCGGTGACTCAGAGACCTGTCCGGGTCGATTTCCAAGCCGGGTTTAAAAACTATGGAAAGGATTATAATTAAAATAACATTTAAAATGTAACAACTAAAATTGATGTGATATGATAAAAATAAGAAATAATGAAAGCGATGAGTGGTTAAAAATATGCGACTAGATGAATAGTGATTTAAAATGAGATGTAAGAGATGTAAGAAATAGATAATTGATATTATTAATTATATTAATAATGTTAAGAATAGTGAGTTTAGCTAAATTTTAAGTTAAAGCAAATAAAACAAAATAGATCCAATTAAAATCAATTTTGATCAATTCTAACTCCTTACCAATAATTGGATTAAAACTGATTTAGAATAATGGAGTAAACATAAGCTGAAGAAAATACAATTAAAAGATATTCCATTTTTCAATTGAAATTTCTATCTCAACTCTAACAAGTTTTTCTTTTCCATTTTCTACACCCAAAGATCAACAAGCAGCAGAATAAGAAAGAGACTGAATATTTTGGTTCATATACTGCTCAACCATAATGAAAGATCGACAGGCAAAATAAGATTCAGCATAAGAACGACAGTCTCTTGAGTATCTAAACCCGATTTTTGGAGAGTTTCACACACAAATCCTATCTTAAAACATATGTTTTCGTTCATATAATGCTGAAGCATAATGTAATATCTGATCATGAAAATTTAAAAGCCTTCCCAGGAATTTTCACCAATACAAAATGTGACAACACAACAAAATATTTATAGCACCTGAGAAGAGGAAGTTAAGTCAACGACTCAACCACATCTGCAGCATGAACCACACGACACAAATTTCAACATGACCAAGAACTTTCTAATTACAGATTGCATAATCTGGAGAAAAGCTAGAGTGTTGGGCATATTTCGACCTGCAGGCAAAGAATTACCAAATTTGAGTTGGAGAAGTGATAAGAGTATACCTTGATTACTGAATAGAGGTATCTATTTACAAACATACAGCTTAAAGAGTGAGTAGGGGAGTGTTTTACTTAGATTTAAACATCAGATACCAATTAAAAGGATGAATAAATATTAAAGAAACACAATCACATGAGAAAAGAGTAGTGAAAACGGGATAAAAAGGGGCCTCAATGAGATAAGGGGCAACAAATCAACATCAAGAATAATATTTAGTGAATAGTTGATAGCATAACGAACGAGATTCTTAAGGAGCATCTTTTACTTGATTTTTCATTTATTTATTTTGCCTTTTTTTTACTTCTGTGGAAGAACAGATTGTGCAGAAAGTGGTACGCATTAGATGTTGTAGCTTACGATGAAATGTACTTCTCAATTGCCTCTTTTCCTTCATCATCGAGAACGAACCATTTGTCATCTAAGGTAAGAGAATCCCCCTTCTCTTGCCCAGCATCTATAACCCAGAAGAACAGTCAACTAAGTAGACTAAGTACTGTAGCGACTTAAAGAACAAACTCCACCTCACGTACCTTGATGCACAACATTAGATTTTCCCATACAATTTAGTTTCCAATACACATGCCCACCAACTCCAGAAAAGAATGGCTCGATCCGTAAAACATCTAATTTGCCATCTACAAATTAAGCACCAAAAGATAGAAAACCTTAATCAGAAAAGGCATGATAGTAAGTTGCTGTTGCAAAGTTCCATAAAATTCAGCTATGTAAAGCTTAAAGTGAAATATTAGGCAAACAATGTTATCATGAAAGAAAACAGTGACACCTTGAACTTATTCTAGGATGTATCATACAAATGTAAGTTCAGTTTCATTAAAGAAGCCAGTTAACCAATGGTTAAGATTTAGACTACTTGCTCCACAGAATTAAATTAAAATAATAATTCCTCTAAATCTTCCCAAGTTAGAAAAGAATATGTTCGATCGTTAAGATTCCAAATACGAAAAAATGAGAGCACATGCAATTTTAATTAAGATGATATTATCTGATGATAAAGAAAACTGCACGAAAGAGAGAGCAACAACTTCTAGAAGATAGTTGTGTTATTGGAGTGGAACTGAAATCTGCAGGACGATCTACCATTCAGACACCAGAGCATGTGAAAAATAACAAACTATATAATCATTCAAGGATTGTAAAAATGAACAGTACACTAGCTGGTCTACATGAAAAGTTTCCAACAATAAATATGAAATTCTATGTATCAATATATTTCCAGTAATCTTGACTCAAAGAGAAAAGGAGATAGATTTACTTTCTAAAAGCATGCCATTCGACTCGAGCACCTTGGCATGAGCTTGGGCTGTTTTTTGTTTTATATCATATACAATGGCTTCATGCTCAGAAATTGAAAGATGAGCACCATGCTTGGCGATAATTGTGTGAGCGATGTCATCCTTCATTTTCTGCTTTAAATTCTTATCCTGCAACAATGGATCTAAAAATTACTGCCTCTTGTCCCTAAAGATAGGCCACATTTACATTAAGGACATCCCAAAAAGAAGGTTCTACCGTCATATTCAGTATGGAAATAAATTAACTTTACCCCCAGCACCCCGTGACACAATTGCTCTCGGCACTCTTGAATATAAAGCATCAAAGACGTGGGAACAAATACAGTTGTGGATAGGGATATCCAGAGGAAAATAGAGTTTTAACTAACTTTTCTTAAACTCGTGAAATAACCATAAGCCCATCTCTTTAGTAGGTGGGCCCAGGATGGAAGTAA